AGCAGCTATTAATAGATAAATTTAACTTAGAATGTTTGGCTTTTGAGTGAATGCCTGATTTAACTCAAGAAATAATAAATAATTTCTCTGGTAGCATATGAGCAGCCTTCCTTGGAAAAGGATGCTCCTTCTCAGTGTAGGAGACAAATGGTTAAATCTGCATTTTCCTTTCATTTGGAGAGATATATGAAGTGTGGGTGTTCTATTGCCTGAGGAAGGCCTTGAAAGCATGGGAGCAGATGTGATATAAACATGGCGGCACTCTTGAGTGTCTAAGGAGTAGAGTAGCACAGTGGAATGTTGGCACCTCAACAAACAAGCAAGTTTGAGTTGTAAAGGAAGGAATATTGAGTAATGTTGTGATAATGGTTCTTCCAAAAGGGGAAACATCTATCCAGTAAAGCCAACCAACATCTAAGGCTGGAGACTTTACCATCTCAGAAAAACATGGTTGTCAACATTCTCTAATGGAGTACTTGTGAAAATTTTAGCAATGGAAGCAAGCGATTTGACTAAAATTTCAAATTGAATTTTAAATGGTATTGATTCTCCTAGGAAGTAACAGATTCACTGAAATTTTAGAATGTGTCTAAACACATTTTGGTAATAAGCCCATTAAGATACACCCAGGCAAATCTATAGTTGCCTCTTAAAATATCATAAAAGTTCCTAGGCCAAGGTGAGGTGCATCTACCAATGTCAGCACTAAATTTTATCTGGTAAGAAATTTCAGGAAAATAGAAAAGTTGGAAAAAAGAACCACGTATACTCTTAAGAATTACTGTGTACTAAAATTACTAGGAATTGTTTTAGCTTTGTAATCTAAAATATCACCAATTCAAGACTCCTATAGCCTATGAATGTGAAACAAAAACAAAATAAAACAAGAATCAGCTTTTGTAAATATATTTAAGTTTGCCTGAAATCACATCCTTTGTAAAACAGGAGAGTTGGCATTATTCCTGATCGCTGATCATAGCAGGACACCTGTGGTTCTTTCTTTCAATAGGTAACAACACTGTGATAAAGGCTGGTTCTTTAGGTGATACTGGAAGCAATTGAACTGTTTGAGATTTTCCTGGGCTAGTGCATGTTATTTGTATAATTCTTTATTGTTTATTTAAGGAGGTCTGTGTTGAGTGAGTGGGCACACATTAGCACTAAATATTTATAAAATATTTGTTAGTTCTCAAGATCCTTTTATATTTGTTAATCCTGTGCTGACATGTCTTGATATTTCAATTTGAAGTGTCTTGTGAGCCTGCATATATGCAACACATGTGCATGTGTGTACATCTCTGGTTGAACACATGCATAGGAAACTCCCAGGACACCATCATTCGGTGGATAGATGTTAATTTTGTAGAATCTGGAAAACTTTTTTGTGTCCAATGCTCTTCTTCAACCATAAATGTTTAAAATGACACTTTATATGATCCAATGCTCTGATTTAAATGTTAGTTCTTTGTTAATTACCCCAATAGAGATGACATAGTCAACTGGGACATTGAGTGTCTAAAAGCCATTTGTCAGAAATGCTTATGAGGTGAGTAGGTGGTAAGGGCTCTAGTCACCCAGAGGGCAAGCTTAGAGTTACATGAAAGGATGAAGAGTGGTAAATGACACAAAAGAGGGACTGGAAGCACCCAAGAATCACTGACCATGCTGATCCTCTATATGACTCTAATGGGATGTAAGTTAGACACTATGAAACTTATTTTTCCTCTTCCCCCAATAGATACTTTGCTCTCATAGTCATAGAAAAAGAAAGTGGCGAATATTATTCTGGGAGGATAATAATTGTATTGGTCAGTTTCAGGTGAACCAATATATTTCTCCTTAACAGGAGTTATAGCTTTACGAAATCAGATGAGAAGCTCCTGTTCATGATGAGTATATGGTAGCTTTGGTGGTCTTTCTATTGGCAGATCCAAATTATAAAAACATTTATTAAAATAATATATACCAAGAAAATGCTATCAGGAACTTGACTTTGATGACAGGGCTAGAACTGTAAATACAGGGTTTGGGAGTCTGTGCATGGGTTTTAGGTGAAAACAAGATGGCGGCAGTCTTCTGAATAAGCCCATTGATGGAGGACTCAGGCTCCCTATCTTTAATAGCTGTGACTTGGGCATATGGTAGTGGGTGGCAATAAAAGTTATTTGAGATGTCACATTATACAAAACAATAACGACTTTTAAAAAGGTGTGAATTGAAATGAAAAAACTGAAACTCTGAAGTTTCAAGACAAGCTAGGCAATATAAATAATCAAAATATCATTTGGCTTCGGCTTGAGTCCTAATTCTAAACAGCTTACACATTTTCAAGTCAGAATTACAGGAAAAACATTGATACCTAAATAAACAGGGTGAGTACATGATTAATGTTTTAAAATAGTAAACACTTCACATTTGTAGCATTCCTTTAACAGATTGGTCTGGGGAACTTGTTTTCATTCCTACTTTGCAATCTGTGTTTTGTTTATTTATTCTCTTTATGCTGAATTCCTCTCTTTTAATTTACCTTTCGTCTTAATTTACTCTAGGGGGCAAAGTGAAAATGTCTAAAATAAGTGAAAAATCTAAAACAATTAGAAAATTTAAGACTGAGCAATAAGCAACTCCAAAAGCATAACTGCTTTTCTTGGTGCGATGAATTGTGGGCAATAAAAAGATACTATTAGTAGCTATTTTCTTTAGGCTTTTAAACACTTCTAAAGCTATATTTTATTTCTTATAATGAATAAAATCATCCAGGATAATTGAGAGGCTAAGAAGGATCTTTTTTGCTTATTAGGAATGCAAGGAGAATGAGGTGTTCTGAGCAGAGATTTCCCTTCATAGACTCCCATACTCTTAGCCAAGATGAACACATGTTGTATGATACTATTAGGGAGAGAACAAATTTGACCACAGTGCTTTGGGAAAAAAAATAAGAAAGACTATATGATTCCTGTGATTTTTAAAGATAAAATTAGATGGTCTTAAAATTATTCAGAGATAATGCTTCAACCAGGTTGGATTTCGGACGTGCTCCAACTCCACTCTAGATATGAATCATTTTTGCATGGAGAGGCTAAAAAGTATGGTGGGAAAAGCCTTGGTGGCCATAACTGGCCTAATAAACAAAATTTCTGAACACATGAGCACATGTTTTCTAAGATGTTCGCTGTTCCATTCTATGGGAGAAGGGATATGTGATCTTCACAAGTTGTTGGAGATAAGACCCATGTCCTCTCTATTCAAAATAATTTCTTTGGGTGAAATTTTAGATCTCCTCTGTTGGTGGTGGTGGTGCTATATAACACAAATGTAGATGCATCTCACTTTGCAGGAATTGTCTGATGGAAGGAAGGTTCAAGCACACTCATTCTGTGTGACTCTCTGCTTCATCCTTTGTTCTGTCATAAGCCTTTCTGCTACAATATCAGTATACTATTGTGTGCTCATTGTCATTATTTGGGGAGATAACTTAGAACATGTGAGTTCATGATCCAACATTTCACCATTTTCCAATTCAGTACCATGATTTCTATCTAATTAAAAAAGTCAATTTTATTTTTTCAGAAAAACAGGTCCATATTGGCCAAAGACAGAATTAGCTCAAGCCTGTTGCTTTCCAGCAAGAGTGGAACCCAAGAAAGGACACTGGCGTGACAGGTTATTCCTCAGCGGAGAGTGTGATGCACACAGAGGGTGCTTTAGTAATAATCTGGATGAGAAATTGTCAAGAAGATAAATGGCTTGAGTTTGGATTTAGCACCAGCAAAACAGCATTCAGTCTTCTAAGGATGTGACTGTCCCTTCATGCGGCCAGATTCGGGGAAACCTGGAGTTTGGCAGGAAGCAGAACATATAAAGGAGATTAACACATTTTCTGTTCCTCATCTGAAGGACACTGTGCCCTTTATGTGTTTAGAAAAATTGAGAAGCACTCATTATGCGTGAATTCTAAAATACCACATTGAGACAAAATGGGTATTTCACAGAATTGATCTGAAAAGCAGGCTTGCCCTCCCTCTCCTGTAGCAATGATCAAGCACCCATGTTACGTGCATGTTCTGAGATGCATAAGCATAAGTATTTCCTGGAGGCGTGTAAAGACCAAGCTTTCAAGAGCAAGGCAGAATGGAATGAAATATAATGCTGAAGGAAACCATAAACTATGGACATGTTAAAGTAAAACTAATCTAGAAAAAAATTTTCTAGAAAGGTACATTTGGAATGTGAAAGATTTTCAATGTATAGATTTTAATATGTCTGTGTGTGTGTGTATGTGTGTGTGTATAAAGAAAAAAAGATATTTATGTCAAGTTGGGGGAATAATGTGTGGTTAAAATATAGAGAGAGCAGGGGATATAACTGAAATAAACTTGTTATGTGATTTTGGATCAGATTCTTAAGGAATACAATATTTATTCAATAAGCACTTTTCTAGTATTTATGATGAACCAGGTATCATACTGAGAGCTTGATTCAATCTCATGACAACTTTAAGGAATCATACAGATGAGGAACTCAAGACACAGAGAGGTAAACCAAACATGTATGATCACACAGCCAGCAAATGCCCGAGCTGGGATTCATACTCAGGTATGAATTTCCAGTGCCTGTGCTTGATTTGACAAGAAATGAGAGTTAGGGCTTTGTTCCATGTTCTTTATATTATTAAGAGTTTTTGACTGGTTTTGAAGGGGCTCATGATCCAATATGGGTGGTAGAAAGATCATTCTGGCAACAGATGATAACTATATTAGAAGCATAAACACAGACAGAGATCTTAAGCCGAAGGGGGATATTATTTGTTGAAGCAGTTTGCAGTGGTTTTGGTATATATACTAGATTTCCTGGGTTTCACCTTGGGTAAAAGAGGTCATGTTAAAGAGAGTAACCCTTGTTTTTTTTTTTTTTTTTTTAAATGCAACATACAAACTTTATTTAACAAAAGTAACAGGTAATGTCAAACAGGCACTTATATTAAGAGAAAAACTGACTAGAAGAAATTTTATCTTAAACACCTTACAATAAGCTACTTGTAGTTGCATTTAACTGAGCTCTGTTGCTGTGAAGAATACAGCTCATGCACAGGTAGGGATGAATGATTTGTACATTTTTCAAGTATTCACTGAATACTACCTTATATACACATATACATTAAATTTGCGAAAGATTTAATTGATGATCCCAGATAGACTTCATTTTTGTTGCTCTTTTAGAAAAGGTCATCTAAAGAGAAGAATATGGGGTTCTGGCTCATGAATCATGTAATGAACCCAGCCTAGACTCTGTTGGACACCAAGTCTCCTCCACTCCTCTTCAGACATTAGATGAGTTTTGGGTACTTGTTTGGAAAGTTCTCTGGGTAACATGACATGCCGGTACTCATAGTGCTCGTCGAAGTACTTGTCTGAGTAGTAGATCTGCTTATGGGCCATACTGCTGGCACGCAGCGAGGCGGAAACCCGACTGCAGAACGCGCGAAGCGGAACGCAAGTCGGTTTCAGGCCAGGGCAACGACTCGACTAAAACCCGAGAGTAACCCTTGTTTGACGAACTCTTATCCCTAACAGATCTTTTAGTACCTTACATGTTGTCTTTCTGCACTATCCTGGTCTTTGGTACTTCAGAGATCACTATGGGTGCCTTAAACATATGCTTTGGAACCATCCAGACATCCACTAGTCTAGTGTGGTGCAATAGAACTGTGGATAACGATGGATCTGTTAGTGAGACTGGGGAACTGAATTTTTAATTTTAATTAAACTTGTTTTAAATAATCTCATATAGTTAGTGTTGCAGTATTGAATGATCCAGTACATGTTGGTGTTTCCTGGGCCTTTCTGCTAGTTATCACTTTTCCTACTGGGCATGTTATGGGAAACACTCTTTCTTTGAGCAAGGTAGCTACCCTACCAATACTACTTCTGTGGGGGACTGTCACCAACTTTTTCCTGAATTTCCTGCATCTACCAGGAATTGTGTCCACTTCTGATATCTCCTTATAAGAACCAACCGGGAAGTGAGGAAGACAGATCTCCAAGTGGCACATATTGTGTCCCTGTATGTTGCAGAAATTTTAGGAAGACAACTGTTTCCATTTTTACTTTTTGTCATACATCTCCCACACGGTGTCATAGAATGAAAAATGTTTCAACCAACTTGAGGGCTTGTTTTGAACTCTAGGTCTTCTTGTCTGACACCAACTTCTCCTAAGGGACAAGACACCCAAATTTGGGCAAGTTACAGTCTTTGCCAAATCAGAATGCCAATTTAGGTACAAATCATGCACCCTGATAAACTCAAGTGACCTCCTTTAGCCCTCATAACAAAGATACTGCTCCTAAGAGACTGATGAAGAAATGGAAATCCAGAGTTTAAGTGGAACAAATTAACCCATTTTACAGATGATTGAACCGTAATTCAAATCCATGTCCAAGATTCTCAGGTCCGGCCTCTTCCCATAATAGCAAGCTGTGCTTTTATCGAAAGCTTACGACCAGAAGAGAAGAGAACTTATAATTATGTGAAAGATTTATGTATACAATATATTGTTTTTAAAAATATGTTTGAAGTGAAGAAAAAAAGCATACATATTTTAGAATCACTAGCAATTTTTAAACAGTGAATTAGTGCACAATTATAAGTCATCTTATTTAAATTAACTACTGTTTGAATTTGGATTCCGTGTTTCAAACCAATTTGTCGTGCACATGTTATAAGCAAAGTCCTAAAACATACCAAAAACATGTAGTGAGCCACATTTAGAATGACCACAATCAAGTCATCCCTTAGAAATAGCTAATAGTCGCCAAGGAATTATTCACAATGCCCAGATTGTACATGTTTCTTCTACAATGTACACATGACTGAAGTCGCTAAATCTTTTGGAATGGCCATGGTATTACTGAAGAGATTTTTTTAGGGTTACTGTTGTGCCTACAACTAAATCACAAACCACTTTTATAAAGCAATGACAAAGACTTGGAGATCATAGTCAGCAAAATTAAAATAACACTCCTTTTCCATATCAGGGGCCTATTGTCTCAAACACTTCAAAACGTTGCCTAATATTTTACAGATATTTGCTTTACTTATAAATAAATTTTCTCCCTGAAGTTAAGAAAGACTGTAGGATCGAATAGCAAGTTTTTTGTAACTACTGGACATAAGGTTGAAATTTCTTTACTGGAAAGAAAAAGAACCCCCTCCTCCTTTAAAACTCTTTTTGTTGTCCAACTAAGCATGCTTTAGTTATTTTATGTAATAATGATCATTCAAGGTTTGAATTTCAACTGGTAAGATGTGGTTAATAGGAGAGGACAATTTGCTATATCTTTTCCACCAGGGTATATCATTAATGATCAACTGATTAGATTATCCATTATTTTGCTCTCTGTGTATTTTGCAGTATTTTGGGTAAGTAATGATTTTCAAATGCTTTGAAAAATAATGGAACATCCCACAGATGCTTTCTCATCATGACATCAGTACTCTAGGTAGATGCATTTTTAATTAAAATCCCTGTGGCATTGCATCATTATCTAACCTAGGCACTGCAGTGCTAAGTGGAAACAAAATCTTTCTACCTAATGAAATCTTATTTAATAAATGATATTACCTTTGGCCACCCCTTTGGTATAGAAGCCTTTTATTTGACACGAGGACAAAAGGACCCCCTAGTATCACCTCTGGCGTTTTTACTTCTCTCTTTCATGCCCAGCAGGTCTGGGTCTTCTGCCCTGGAATATAAGGTCTAAGACAGAATTTACAGAAATCAAACTGCAGTTCCACCCTTCCTTGATGTCCTCCCAGGTGAACTCCAGGGCTCCATGCTCATACTTCTAAAGCAAGCAAACTTTAAGCTAATTATGTACTAGCGTATTCTCCCTTGCTGAATTTTGGCAGGTTGCTTCTGTAAATTATGAAAAATAAATGTGAAATATGCAGATGTCTTTTGTTTGAAGCAGATGTTTGGTCTGTCTTGCCAGAATCCAATCAGCTGTTCCCCTGGTGGCCTTCCCCCCACAACATTATCCCAGAGCAGCTCAGAAACATGAAGGGGTGATCAGAATAGCACTCTATGCGACTTAGAGGAAGATTCTGTACTTAGAGGTCTTTGTTAAGGAGAATTAAAAATAGAAATACCCAAGCCACAGGAATCAGATCGTCTCTGGTAAAACATACTGGATGCAGAACGGTTTTCATTCAGAGTGTTTGGTGAAACTGAGAAAGGGTGGTCTTAATTGTGACCATTCTTGCAGGGCAGGGGGCTGCCTTCATCCTGCCATCTTGTTTAAGGCCATTACTGTTTCGAAGAGGAAATCTCTCTGTTTGTAGATTCACTAGTTCTATACAATGGGGCTCTAGTTTTATCATGAAATATAAGTAAAGATGATTTCATAAGAGTGAAATATTTGCAGAGGTTACATATATATGTATACATATACGTATATATACTAAATACATATATGTATGCATATACATATACTGAGGAGTTATATCCCTGGTCTCATGTGTATATATGTAACATGTGCAAATATGTACATGTACATATATTTATATATACACATGTATACATGTACTTGCATTATATAACTATATATATGAAACCTACATATATATTCCATGCAAATATATACAAATATATATATATATATATATATATATATATATATATATATGTATGTGTATATATACATAATACCACATATTTAAACAAATAACACTATAGGTATTATTAGTAAATATTTTGCATTATCACAGCTGCCAATCAGCTTCTGCTCTCATTCAGTCTCTTACGCAAAAACAGAAACCAGTTGTAGGATCCTGAAGGTTATATGGAGAAGAAAAACTATAGAGCTAGTCCATGTTGACACTGACTGTGATGAGTATCTTAAATAACCCAAAAGGCAGAAAGGACCACTATTTCCAAACTCTGCTGACCACTAGCATGTACCTTTGGGCAAGTATTTAACTGCTCCTAGCTTCCATTTTCTCGTCATAATAATACCTACTGCAGAGAATTTGTTTAGTGAGATAATGTAAGTCAAGTACTTAGACACAGTGTCTGGGCCTGACATATTAAAGAGCAAAAACTCAAACACTGAGAGCTCATTCTATAATTTCTTATTCACTTCCTACCTATTTCCTGATGAGGATTTATGTATGGATGTGTTTACATCTTTATTTATTTACTTTTAGCTAATGCACATCTCTTTATGGAAAGGTGAACACATTTCCCTGCTTCTATTTACAGCAGACACAGGAATCATTCTCCTGTTAACATTGTCTGCTTCACTATAAATATCATATATGCTGCTATACAACATTAGCAATGTCCCTTTAGTTTACTCTTTTTGAATAACATTAAATTTCCTTAATTTTCTTTTTTGTGTCCCCTATCCAACACTGGTTTGCTCTTCTCAATCTATTGCAAGACCCCAAGTTCTTCTTTAACTGTGAAATTTCATAGCTCTTTTTAGGGTCTGATTCATATAATGAATAACATTATACTTAGCTAATATTTATTAAGCACCAACTGTATGCTGGGGTCCTGTAACATTGAGTATGAACAAGACAGACAAGGACCCTTTTAGAATGAATCTTTCCTTTTAGTGGGGTAAGTAACTAGGATATATCTTAACAATCTCTGTACCTGACACCACCATTTCTGTTTCCAGAATCATGTATTATGGCTTTTGTTTTAGCAACAATATTACAGAGAAGACATACATTTTATTTCCATGCTTTCAGAATTTCTGTTTTTCAGAAACATTATTACTTATGCATAAGACCAGTATAATTGGTTAAAAGTGGAAGCTTTGGTAAAACCGTGGATTTTAATTTTTTTCCTGATACCAAGTAAAATCATTCTGATACTTTAATAATATATAGACACAAGTTTACTAAACATTATTTTTCAAAGTACTTGTACCCATACTAAAAAAAATCTATGTTCTAATTTTATTCATAAGCCACCTGAGAGAAATAATAAGAGGAGAATGAGAAAAAAAAAATAAAAGAAGTAAAAGATAGGGCCTTTAGTCTCAGTGATTTTAAAATGAAACTAATAATATAAAATCTGCATACTGAAAATAATAATGACTTACGATGTTAAAATAACATTTCTACACAATTCATGTAACACCTATGTTCATTAAAAACAGATGGGTAATAGTGTTCATCTTGTGTAGACTATGGGATTAAACAAAATAGTCATGCAAGAATTTTACAAACCCAGGGGAAATGTTCAATTATTGGGTGACATATTGCCAACTTTATGAATCACATAGGTCGCTTTTCTTATTCCTTTTTGACATAAAAGAAACTGATTCTCAGACAAATTGAACAATACATCCAAACCCATACTAATTCAGAACTGTAGAGTTAAAGTGTGAGCCTGGGTCTCCTGATTCCAACTTGAATGTTTTTCCCCAATGTCCCTCTTGAACCCTCA